CGTTCACGGTAATACCGGTATAATGTTAGGCAACGATAGGAAAATGAAATATCGCGATAGAATATGAGTAAAACGCGCATGCGCAGTGCCTTTGTTTTCATACGCACATGGCCGATTGTTGAGTGAAACAGATGAACCAGAATTGGTTTGTAAAAATGGTGCAACTTCAGTGATGTGGAACTGGTTTGGTGTTTGTCCGTCAGATACACGACAAAGCACATTTTTTTGCAGAACATGCAAGCGGCCGTCGTTATTGTATTTGTCGGACTAAGATGCTCTTAAATCTGGGAGTAATCTGGGTCCTAAACTCCGTTGCTTTTCAGGTCAAACAAACACTGCAGCATCACTGAGAGTTAAAAACTTCTAAATTCTTTCATCTTTAATAAAACGATCGGCAGTTGCTGCTTTACCAGGTGTAACTATGAAGTTTAACTTCCAGGCATCCATGAAAACAAAATTTATTACATTTAACGGAGTTAGAAGTTAGCAGGAAGCTAGCGGAAGTTAGCTCGCTAGTTTCGCTAGTTACCTAAGCATGATATTGCATGTTCTGACTGAGAGATTTCTGAAAAAATTCAAACGTACAGCTCTGCTATCACTTCCAACATAAATGAAGACAGGAAACTAAACAGCAGTGACGTTTGTAGGGTTACTGAAGTTGGGCTAGCTGGTATATAATGATGTGCTACGTGATCGCTAGCGACACAGCTATGTTAGCATAACATAAACAGTGAAGCTGGAGGACGAACACTAACACTTTTCCACTTATAAAAGTTAACGTAAGGTTCCTATGGTTAGAGACAAATGCAATCGCATGGCAGGATGCTGTAAACGGACCAAACTTCAGTCAGGAGAACAACTGAGATAATCCATCCACAATACGAGGTTAGTCATTAATATACTGCAACAACATGGGAATAGAGCAGCTGCCAGAGAATTCAACATTAATGAATCAAAGGTACAGAAGTGGAGGAAGCAAGAAGAATGAGTTTAATAAAGTTTGATTTATCTGACTGCTTTGTTTCGCTTAATGTGCCTTATAATCCCGTGCACCTTATGGTCCGAAAAATACGTACTGCACACTGCAGTTTAATGTTGCAAAGCACCTCTTTTTAACTTCAGTGGATATTATACATGGTTATGCTCAGGATATGTCAGCCCATTTCTACTGGAAATGCCTTTTGGTTAAACTTTCATCTATCTAGGTATAATATGGCCCAGCCCTAGTCTGAGTAGTACAAAAGTCCTTTTCCCAAGTACATAACTACTTGTTTGTTGTTGATTATGAAAAATATTTTGTTACTAAATAAACGTTTACAGTCATACTGTTTAAACATAAATGCGACTGATGGTAGAAAACAAATCTTGTTTCGTTGTGAGGATGGCAGACTCGGTTTCCATTTGTGTGCTGCAGCCACTTTCCCCTGACAGATAGCAGACTTCAGCAGTTTGCAGGATGAAGCGAGCTTTACTCACACGTTCACAGTGACACTGGTCTCCTCCACCAGAACATCTGCTAAACTCTGCTGAAATTGCTCCTCACTCTCCACCAGCTGCAGGAAACAAAAACTACCAGTCAGCACAAAACCTGATGATCCCACTTTACACCATCACACAGGTTAAAAAAAAAATCTCTTAAACCTGTCAGAAGAAACATTTCGCAGTCACAGTTCAAAGATGTTGCCACTTTCTTTTTTTTTTACAGCGGCTTTTGCTCATATAGAGATTTATGATGATAAAATCATAAATTACAATGCAATAAAACATTCTGAAAAATATTAATTTATACAGACTGTGATCTAATTTGACTGTGGTTACAGTGAGAGGCTATGGAAAATAAAAGGACCACCCTCTGCACCACCTACTGGCCAGACATTAGCAATTTATCCAACATCTGTTTTCAGCTGCTGCAAGGACAAATACTTAAAGCCCGTTAAGAATAATCATCTGACCTTCTGAAGCAGCCCTGAACCCTAAAATGGAAGCAAACGCTCTATTTTGGAAAATATGAATGGATTCTTTGCATTTTGTTAGAGTTGTGGCAAGGGGTATGTGCAAAGCCCCACAAAATATTTTAATGTATTTAAAGACACATAACAGTGGAGTGATGGGTTGGTTAAAGTGGTTAAAGAAAATGAATTTAATGAATTTAACAATTTTCAGTATAAAAATATTTCATCTCCTGTGTCGTGCCATTTTTAATAGCACGTGTGCTGCTGCAACAGTCTGAAAATCATACTCAATGTTTCTGCAATATTCTCCTCTGTATTTATTGGGAATGTGGTGTATCAAATCATCTGTTATAATACAAATTTTCATATGATATAAAAAAATCTCACTGATATAGTGATGTCATGGGTTTATCCTCCCTAATGTGGACAACTAGGCCTCTAGTGAAGGCCTAGTGAAAGATACTACAAAATAAAAGCACAATGATTTGCCAAATATGCACAAAAACTATTCTAGCTGAAGATGGAAGCTACAACATTGTTTCTTCAGGCACAAACACACCATTGAGGACAACCGGGATATGTAGGTGCGCAAGGAGGAGATACTAACAGCTGGTGAAGTGTGACCACTTTTAAACAAGGGCATCGCTGGAGCACTGCACTCCATATGACACGAAGAGCACGTGTTGGATGGAAATTAGTGGTAAAGTACAGGTTTATGCAACTGCATAAAATGCAATATTCCAGAGAGAATATATTTTTATTTATGTGACAGTGTTGTAAGGGTTATTTTAGTTTAACTGTTGTTGGAATGTTTTGTTTGCTTAAAATTTCCGGGGAAAACACTACCTAGGCTACTTTTGAGTTTACATTTGACTTCTGCTGTGTGTCACTATTACTCTATGTTGCTGCTGGCAATGGATTCACACCTTGAATCAGGTAGTCTGCCAGGTGGATGTAAGATACCCTTCATATTTCTTTGCGCTAACAAATCTTTTGCCTGCAGTAAAAAAAAAAAATATTGTTCAGTACTTTTTTCAATATTGTAACAATATCGTTATTATAAATTTCCTTGAAATATTGCTATAGAATTTTGAGGTTATATATCACCTGCCCCTAGTATTTACTTAAGAGAAAATATTCTGAAGGTTCCCCCTGAAACAAATAACAACAAAAAAATCCTGCCTCTAGTTCTTCTGCTGCTCACTTCAGGGGTCACCACAGCAGATCATCGCCCTCATCTCACACTATCCTTAGCATCCTCCCTGTCACACCAACCCTGTGCACATCCACAATCCTTCTTTTCCTTAAGTCCTTCTCACGCCTTTCCTTCCTTCTTGCGGTCTCTAAACACGCCTTTCCTTTTCCTTTGTCTTACAGTAGCACGATTTCCACCAGCACCACAGGCAGTCGCTGTCATCCCGGTATGGAAAGATCATTCTTGATGACCCGCATGTTTGTTTGGGTTGGCAAGATTTTGCACGCTTCCTGACACAACCCTCCCCTTTTATCTGGGCTTGGGATCCCACCCTCCTTCGGACTGAATTGGAAACGCCTCTGGTTGTGGGTGTTATAGAGCTATTATAGAATAAAAGTATTATAAAAACGTTGAGATAGTGTTTGTTAGGTAGATCTACAGGAAAGTCAAGATTTATCCACACAACACCGACGACGCCAAACAGCTGCTAGACTGTGTAAAAACCTCTTCCTGATACAGTCATATTTGTCTTTAAGTGATTTTGCTAGTCCAAGCTGACGACCATATATCTGGGATATTTACGACCAGATATCTCCCAATAAAAAAACACATCCAGTCAGCCGTTAGCTCGTCCTGAAAACAGCTACAGTCACAGCACACAGCTCGATATTTGCCTTTTCTTTTTAAAATTTTATTTCTTAAAGTGAACAACTCACCAAGATGTTCGCTGTGTTCAGACCAGGGAGTTTACTAAAAGGCTTCAACAACGACATCCTCGCTAAACTTGATAAAGTTTTGTAAACAAACCCGGGGCGGACATTTCTTTCTCTCGCGCTTCTTTTCCAAACATGCGTCTGGCGTCATGACGTATACCAATCTTCATTGGCTGTTTTCTTCTGCCACCTACAGGCCGCCGGGAGTCATGCACCTTTGGCAAGCGTGGACCTACCTCACATTCAGATTAGATCGGTTACTATACAACTGGTTACTATTCATACATTCATCCCATATAAACGGGAACTTGACAGTATATATACGTATATACAATATATAGGTATTTACAACAAAGAGAATATACAGCATGCTTTGATTCAGCAACAGTATATGAATGTTTTAGTGAAGACGATACCTTGTTTTTTGCATTTTATGTAGTTCTCACTCTGATTTTAATTTCCTCATAACTTGATGTACCCGGGACGCAACGTCATGACAGAAAGAGAAACGTGTACCTTCCATACCTGTAATGTGTACATTTTTAAATATATATCTACATAGTTATTCATATTTTTGATATCTTACATTAAATCCTTCAGTCTAAGTACAACCTGCGGAAAAGATCATCAAAACTGTAAAGCTCAGACATTTCCAACGTCTTCCTGCTATCTTTTCCACCACCAAAAGCAGCTCCTGTTACCTGAAAAATTTGGCTTCACTTTTGCATGAGGAAGTGGAGCTAGGGCATCCATCTTTACGAACAGCACCAGGCAAATGTTTAGACATGGTGAGTGTGAAGTTGTATGGATTCATACTCAGTGTTACATGAATCCATAGGCATGATTATGTTTTGTCCTCTAATAACCATTACCGCATAATCACTGGCAACTTTATTAGGTAAATCTTGCTAGCACCAGGCTGGACCCTCTTTTGCCCACAGAACTGCCTTAATTCATCAAGGCCTAGATTCAACAAAGTGCCAGAAAGATTCCTCAGATTTTGATTCATATTAACAGAAAATCATCACAAAGTTGTTGCAAATTTGCCAGATGGTGACTGTGAAGGCCATTTGAAATATCCATCAGAAGCCGGGTACACTGTGGTCATAAAATAATCTGTGTAATTGAGCAGCAATACTCAGTATGTGGTGTTTAAACAATGTTCAGATGGTCAGGTGTGCCAAGAAAATATCCCCATTACAACACCCAAGTCTCAGCATCCTGAACCTTTCATATGGACAAGACTAGATCAATGCTTTCATGTTTTAAGCCCAATTCCAACCCTACCACCCACATCCCACAGCAGAAAATGAGAATCATTAGAGAAGTCAACATTTTTACAATCTTATGGTTTCTCCTGCAAATTGCAGCCAGTTTCCTGTTATTAGCTGACAGGAGTGGGGTGGGGTGTGGTCTTTTGCTGCCACAGCCAATCTGCTTCAAGGTTCAACGTACTGCAAATTCAGAGATGAGCTCCTCCATAACTTGGTTGTTACAAGTTATTTGAGTTATTGGCGCCTTCCTATCAGCCGTTCTCCTCTCACATCTAGTATCAAGACAACATTTCCAACCAGAGAACATCAACTTACTGGATATTTTCTCTTTTTCAGACCATTCTCTGTAAACCCTAGATGGCAGTCTAAATCATCAGTGAAATATTTTGAAATATACAGAACGGCCCATCTGACAACAACAACCATCCCCAATTTTGATGGTCAGCTTGAACCTGTCTTTATGTCTAAATGGACCCAGTTACTGCTGTGATTGACTAATTAGTAGCTGAACAGGTGTACCAAATGAAGTGGGTGGAGTGTGTATGTGGTTTTCAGCAATGTCTCTATATAAGAAGACAGCATTTTTGGGTGATTTGTTTTAAACACATGGAAATACACTTCACTGAAAACCAACACAACAGCTCTGCCACAACCTTCTTCACCTTTAGGCAACATCATCAGGAAGCTGTGATGAACTGATCTACATTTCTTTCATTCCATGATAGGAGGGAAAAAAATAGAAACCTATTTGTATAATGTTAAAAAATGTGTCTGACTATAATTGAGGTATCCCCCCCAATTAAAGCTTAAAAACAAACCACAACAAAAAAACTGTTGCACTCCAACCACACAACTTTTGCTGCCAAGGTGGGTTTAATCTGATGCAGCTGTAAAAAGCAGGAGACAAGTTAGAGAGAAATCTGGATAACATTTTTTGTTTGAATGGAAGCCAAAAAAAAATAAATACAAAATCATTCAATTAATGGTGGCACAGCAAAGTTGACCCCCCCCCCCTCTGAAAAGTGTCAAGTCAAATATTCACATAATTTATATACCTCCTGGTCTAGGGAGAAATACTCGGATGACATATTTTGGGTGGGTGAGAGTGAGTGAGTTTATATTCAAAGTACAAGCTCATCACAGCATCTTAACCGATGCATGTCAAATCTGCGAAATGAGATTGTCATGGCTTGAAGGCAGCAAGTAAAACAACCATAAGAAGTGCCTTCAGTCATTCACACCTCATTTCAAGCATTACTGCAAGGGCCACGCCACATTATCGAGACTGAACATGCTACTGAAACTGAGGTTCCTAAGGGAACGGGATAAACAGTATTAACATTAAACTAAGGATAAAAAAATACAGCACTTTGTGTGAGTAAAATAAAAATGGACTTAAAGCAGTCTTCTCACCACTCTTCCCCTCATCAGTGTGAAAGTAACTGTACACAGGACCATTGACATGACATGAAAAATGACGACTACACTGCTTCCAGATCAGCCTCGCCTCATTCTTATAAAACTGGTTTGCATGTTTCTGTGACCACCACCACCGACCACCACCCCACCTAATATACATGTCCCGTTTTCAACATGAACACGTATACAAAGTCAACACAAGCGCACACACTCGCACCAGCAGGCTCACATCTCTCCATGCTCTTATTATGTTTTTTACTAAATAATATATCCAAATTAAACTCTTTGGAGGCGCCCCCTGCTGTTCATATCTCCCCGGACTCTCGCTCTTCCGAGCTGGACCGTCGGTCCCGTTCGCACGACACTGATCTCTCTCGTTCCTTTTCCCTGGCCATGTCTGGAGAGGTGGACCTCTCCCTGTCCTCCCAGTCTCTGTAATCTGCTCTGTCGCCACGCCATCCATCTCCTGCACCCTCCCTCCATCTCTCCTGAGACACTGAGCGCTCTCTGTCGCGGGTGTGAGATGATCTGTCCTTGGAGGATCTGAAAAAGTGAGAGAGAGAAAAAACAAAAGAATCAGTGACGTCTGCTATGGAATGAAAATGCTGAAGAAAGGTCCATGGTTAGAAAGATGGTTGGTAATATTTGGCTGGTTACATTTAATTTTAAACTAATTATTACACATGTGACCACAAAACCAAGAGGTTTTGCACAAAGTAGCTACTTGTCGATCAGAATGTACCACACTTTCCCTTATTTATGACTAATAGGTATCATATTTTACCAAATGCACATCATTGTCTATTCTTTAAGAACTGAAACTAGCAGCCGAGACCTTAAACTCATCAGCTTTTTGTTTACTCAGGTAATAAATGCAATGGGAACTAGGATAATATTTTCATACTTTAGGACAAACCACTGGTTGACGTTACAGTGGCTATGTCCACCTTTTAAATACAGTCTATGGTTTCTGAATGTCAAAATGATCTATAATCCAAGAAGAAAAATGATCAAGCACCTTATATCCACATATTACTATATATAATGAATGGATGTTATAAATATGTGCAACAGTGTGTAAAGCTCCAGTACTTGTAGTATTCATTTAAAAGAATCACTTGAAACTATTTAAAATTGACCTTTTAATTCAGATGTTACGCCACACAGGTCATGATGCAGATTTCTGCAAGTTTCAGTGATGAATAAAATCTGCACCTTTTCTTTTTGCGTCTGTGTGAGTGGGAGCGTGAGCGATGTCTATCCTTGTGTCGATGTTTCCTCTCCCTCTCCCTCTCCCTCTCCCGATCCCGTTCCCCACCTTCTTCTCTGGAGTGAGAGGAGCGGTGGCGCCTTGAACGATGGGAGGACGAACTGCCTCCATCCCTGGATAAATCATTTTCAGCAGGGAAAAAAAAAAGAAAAAAGAAGAAAAGGATATTGTTTAGGTCTTAAAAAAAAAAAGAAAAAAAAAAGGGGGTTGGCTGTACTGATGTGTGCTATAAATTTAGATAAAGACTTTGTGGGAATTCGGAAGCATTTTGTCTTCTAAATGACATCCTGCACGAGAAGTATACGTCAGTATACGTACGAATTTGCTGTTTTCCTCTCTGCTCTTTTACCAGGAAAGCAGAGGTTTGAGTATTTTTGTGGCATATTTGTGGTTATGGCATTAATAACCCCACTGCGTGCATTTACAGATACCGCACCATTCGGCTTTATATTGTGTGAAATTACAAGTCGCCTTGCCAACCTGGGAAAAAAACTTATCAAGTGATGCTTGCATACCTGTATCGGTCTCCACTCCTAGATCTTGACCTTAAAAAAAGAGACACTTCAGTTTCCCGATGACTTGAAACCTTTTCACAGTAACGACAGATTCTGATCATTTACCTCCTTCGGTCCCTTTCTCTCTCCCACTCTCGCTCTCGTTCCCGCTGTCTTTCTCTCTCTCGCTCCCTTTCCCGTTCTTTCTCCCGCTCCCTCTCCAGCTCCCACTGTCGCTCTCTTTCATCTTCTTTTTCACGTTCCTCTCGCCGCCGCGTGCGCATTCTTTCTTGTTTGTCGACAACAGCTTTCTGGATTAAAAAAAATAAATGAATGAAGTCAACAGGCCTAACAGGGAGACAAACCCCCGAATCTGTTCTTATCCCTCACATCTTATGACTTTCTGAACTGATCAAACTTGTTTGACGGGCAAATTAATTCTTCTTGTTTTCGATTTGATTCCTTACGTGTTTCTTGTCACTTTGAAGCTTTATTTGGAAAAGTGTTGTATAAATGAAATGACTAAATTGGATACAGCTGAGCATACTGCCTCCTTAACTGTAGTTTGTATAACACTGTACAGATACATTTGTGGTACTAATCAATACTCATGCATATAGTAGCATAGACCTGCTCCAGGACATCCTTACCCTTAGCTTTTCAAGCTTCTCACGGATTTCAATAAAACCGAGGTGCAGCTTCCCCCCAAAGTGGTCAGCCAGGCGGCGGTCATTGTCATGGAGACCCAAGTAGGCAGAGCACACCTCACACACTCGCAGTTTTTGCTGTTGAAAGCTTGAGGCAGGCATTGAGTTCCGGTAAATATCCTGCAGTCACAAATGTTATGGTTATAAGGAGCAGAATAAAAATTGTTCAACCTGCATCTCATTATTCGGACCTATTATGCAAGCTGCAGATTGGGAGCTGATAAAGTGTGTCCGATATGAGTTCTGTTACTTTGTGAAGAGCGTGAAGCTGCTCTACTCAGACAGGCAGGTTAACACTGGCATGAACCATGAACTCGCTGTCATTAAACCACACATTTAACCTTCATCAATGGTGTACACAGACTAGGCCATCTGTTCCACCTACGAGTGCATTCAATCCCCAGAGTCTGGTTCACTTAACTAGTGTGTTTGCTGTGACTGTGCCCTGGTCCGGTGCTGTTGGAGTCAGGCACAGTATACATGTAGTGTGATCCCCACAGGACAGATCCCCAATCCCAAAACCACTTTATTTATTAAGTAATTAACAACTGAGAGGACAGTGTGTCATTTACTTCCCCAACAGTGCCACAAAAAGCATTTAAAAAAAAAAAAAAAAAAATTCACAAAATTTTCACAAGTAAATGGCATGAAAGAGAGACCAGGTGTGACAGGAGTTGAGATGGTGAAACAAACTGGTGTTTACTCAGGCACGGACACATAAGAAGAGTAACTGTGAGTGGGGCTGGTGAGCAAATGTGCTTGAGAACAGTAAACAGAAATTGCACCTCTCATGTGGCTGCAAACATCTTACCACTTATCATTTAGATAGGTAACACATTTCTAACCTCTGCTTCCTTCTTTAAAGCCCGGGTCTTCTCCACTTTTTCCAGCAGCTGCTGGGCCTCTTCTACATTCCCCTCGCCTCCCAGCTGCTCTGCCCGGGCCAGCAGCTTCCCGATCTCTTCGTTAAGCTCGTGGACACGTTCAGCCTTTTCATGAAAGGAAACAAAAAGAAAAGAAAAAAAAGAATGCTAAGCTCATAGTTTTTAGGCAGTGTGTAGACTCTTCCTGTGATAATTAGAACTAAAAATGTCAACAGTGCGTCACCTTCGCAGCCACTTCAGCGCTGATCTCATCCTGTGTTTCTGCTAGTCTTTTCTTGGCCAGCTCAGTTCTGCGGTCACAGTCAGCAATGAAAGACTGAAGGTGTTCAGCGGCCTGAGAAAAAAATACAGAAATAACCGAGAAATATTATATTACAGGATTCTCAAGAATATTTAAAAGTGGCTGAACTAAATAGTCTGTACCTGCTATGAAGTGAGTTTATAAACGCGGCTATAAAACATTCAGTTTCCAAACATTTCCTGCTCTCATCTTAAGCAGTTGTTTAAAGCTTAATAGCAGCACTTACACCACACGTTTGATAAGCCTGGAGAGAGGGATGCCTTCTCATTGACATCTTAATGTGGTCTGGACTAATTTACCACCTTCCAGGCTATTCTATGACATCAAAGTAGCCTTGTAAGCAAGGATGTTGTGAACTGTGTTAATGAAAAAAAGAAGCTTATCAACCCTTTGGAATTACCAGGATTACTGATTTAATTACTCAAATATGGTTTCATCTTCAGCCAAGTCAAAATGACAAAAACACAAAGTTTTACTTCAATGTCCACAAAAACACAGTGACTTAAAATATATACTTCAGTGCTGGGAAAGGTAAGTGAACTTTTTGCTAATGACTTCTGGAAAAGCTATGTCGGACATCAGTCCACAAAAAAGATAAGCTAAAGACAGCAGACTACAAAATTGTGGAGCATGGTGGTTTGATTCTGCTTTGCTACACCAGGGCTTGAGCACCAAGTGAGGAACTATACATTTACATTGGTATTAGGAAATTTTACTTGGAAATGTCAGGGCGGCAGACCATGACCTGAAGCTTAGCAAAGGCTGAGTGACACAACAAGACAGTCATCAAAAGACCAATGGTGACTGGTGCTGCTAAAAGAGGCTTGAGTTACAATTCAAGGGTTAACTTTACTCAGTGAGTTCCTATGTTCAATAAATGCATGAAAACCGAAGTGACATAACTTGTCAGTTACTCTGAAGTCCATGAGTCTGTAATACATAGACCAGACAACCATATTTTATGAGTGATTTGATGAATAACCTCTACAGAACCTCTGCTAATGCTAGAGGCATTTTTTGCAAATGTAAAGGAAAGTAAATTTGAAGTGTGCAAAAATATTGATTAACGTCTTTCACTAATAACCCTCTTGATCAAAAATTATGATGATCCTGAGTTAAAATTAAATACATAATTATTCTTCAACCGGAATTAGTTTTTCTGTGTTAGGACATTCCAGTAAGTTTGGACACAGGAAAACTTACTGTGTCCAAACTTACACTCATATGAACAAATGAGGGTGTCCTACCTTCTGACTAGTAGTGTGTATTTCTGTGTGTTTCTGAACAGTCTTTTAGGTAGAGCTTGACACTAACTTTCTCAAGAAAAGTCTTAGCAATCAAAGTAGATGTAGTGAGTTCAACAAGACATTCAAGAGAATATCTTTGTGGGTGTGTGCGTACAACTTACATCAAGTTCAAAGAAGTATTCCTGCTCCTTAGAGGCAATCTCGTAATCAGCTCGGAGTGCCAAGTCATGCACTTTCATGCACTCTCCCAGGTCCATTCTCTACAGGAATCAAAATGACAATGATGTTAGCTGACTGCCTCATTTTACTCGTACGTTTTAGCCCAAAATCTGAAGAAGAACAAAAAAGCTACAAGATCAAATGTCCTGGACACAAGAATTTTCACTGATGTCACACTAAAGAATCCAAATGTGATACCCTTTAACTTGAAGCAAAGCTAACACAGGTCTGATGATTTCCATATACACTATTCAAACTATCTGTTTATATTCAGTGCTCTAGGAATTAAATTGACTGTCAGTTTTAATTTGTAGATGTTCAACTTCGGAAGAGTCTTTTTGAGTCCAGTCCAGTCGAGGTTAAGGAACAGAAAGTAAGAGGATAAGTCAATGAATAAAAGCAACAACACATCATCGGAGTGGTAAAATGAATCCATCTCACGATCTGGCTCTAATCCCAACTCATATTTGTAATTAAAACAAAGTCTATGACTCTCAGGCCACATCCCCACTAATACATTTGAATGTTTAAGTACAGTTTTAAATGAAACCAAACCAGCCTTTTTTCAGCAGCCAATCAGAGAAAAAGCTCACCTCAGAGTCGTTGGCCTTGTGAGGAAGATAAAGCAGCATGTTTTAGAAAGTGAAACTGTGCGCTAGCTAGTGTGTTATGCAAAGCTGTTCTAGTAGAGTGGATCAGTAAAAATAGAAATGCTTATTAGTATGTTTGGATATGTGTTTATTTCCCATATATATAAAAGTTATTTCATTTCAAACCCATTGACAATGAAGTAGAGCTCAAACACATCTATGCTCTCCATACATTTCCTGTCAGCCTTGTGTGTGTGACTGTATTTACTGTATATATTATACGGCTGTGTGTAAATATGATAAAGCTCTCCTCTGTGTGTTCAGGCGTGCGTAAACACGATACTCACGGTGCCTGAGAGGATGTCATGAGGACATGAATCCAAGAGGTGACTTTTGCAGACTCGCTCATCTGTGAATTTGATTCTCTGCCGCATGGTGTCACCTTTACAAAAAAAGAAGGAAACCAGAAAAGCAGGCGTTCATGAAAAGTACAGTATTTTACTATCATACTGGGTTATTAGCCCGCACCTGTGACTGATTAAGTCATACATCTCTAACCACTGTAGCATCCAGGTACAGTAAACGTGTCCGATAAAACTCCTTGTGGTTAAAAAATAATAATAATAAATACTAGGGAGGAAATGGAGGGAAGAAAAAATGAACACATGACTATGAGCCAAATAAAATGCCGACATGATGTTTGTTTTGGATTGGTTTTGTAACAGATGTGTGCGACAACCTAACTTGCCAAGCAAACTTAAATACAACAGGTAGCTAGCCGGCTAGTTAGCATGATTTGTAAAGCATGCCGCACTGTCACCATAAAGTATGCTGGTTAGCTTGTCGGCTAATGCTAGCAACAGTCATACACGCTGCTGATTTTGTAAGTAACCAATCTCAAACACAGCGAGGCCCCTCTCACCGTCTCTCCCCGTCCCCATGAGCTGGTCCAGCATCGCTCGCATCTGTGCCTGGGCCGACATGTTTATGAGTGCTCAGATAACGTCGCCAGCAGCGGTCTTCAACACATGCAGCCTCCTCAACTGCAAGGCCTCGTCTCTTCCTCCAACAGCACCGACCGCGGATAAGTTTTCCCACCAAGAGGAAGACTCCGAGCCTTTAACCAGCGAGCTGCTTGTGTACAGCGTTACTTCAATGTACTGGTTATCCCTGCACTTCAACAAAAGCAAATAAATGTGACTTTGTGACGTTGGATGGCTTCGGGTCGACCGAGCAAGTGCAACGTCTGTTTGAAAACTGCTGCCCGGGTCCGCCGGTCGGGTCGTGTGGTGAGTTGAGACAACGGTGACTGAATTTAGACGGGGCCTTTGTTCGCTAACAAAATCTACACAGAAATAAGTAGCCAGTTCCACTGTCACACAGACAGATTTCTAGCAAGTCAGCTAGAAGTTATCAAGTTTGTTCAGCGTCCTCTCTTCCTTCTTCCTATTCCCCCTCCATGCGCGTCCCCGCGGAGCGCGCTCTAGTGCAGCGACGAAGGAAGTGCTGCAGTCAGCCTCGCGGGCTTGTTTGGTGACGTTACATATCACCAATAAATATTATTATTATTATAATCCTGCTTTGTTTTTTTCTTAGTTTTTCGGTGTCCCCCCACACAAACATATAAAGTGTTCAAAGTGTCTCTGATCTTACAAATAACACATAGAAACATGGTTGCAAAGCTAAAATGTTCAGCATATTTAGGAAATATGTGCTACTGTCACTGGCCAATACGTATAATAACTAATTTGATATTCACACATATATGAATATCAAAATGATTGGGATCCTAGAGCAGACTCATTGCACAACACTAAAGACTACCTAAAGTTATAAACATTGTGAATAAGACATTGAAAGTTAAGATTTTTAATATGAGAAGGATTGGCTAGTCTCAAGTGCCCACTCCCAGCTGTGGTAAGGGGGATGATATTTTGACACTTCACTCCATAGAGGCCTTTCTTGGTACCAGGCTGTAAACAAATGTTCTGCCATTATAACAATGAAGTCTGTGTGGGCTGACTTGCTTTTGGGCCCTGCCTCAAGTGGCCACTCTCAGAACAGCAGTTTTAGGCACGTCTGCATTAGCTTCATTTTACAGTCTGTCAGGCTGGTACATCATTCTTAATTTATGCTACCGTTGTGTCTGTTGCAGTCCTCCAAAATCCAAACATGATCAACATGGATGCTAGGAAGGAAAGGGAGTGGCAGCAGCATTCTTCTGGAATGGGAAAAGCACGAAAAGACATCAAAGTTTAAAAAGTAGACTATTAAAAGCACAGACAGTGGCTTTTTAACATAAGTTTCACTTCAGCTCTTCGTAATGTTACAACTTTGCTCTTCTCTGCAGCTGGATGATGGACCAGAAACAACTCCTTGTACCAGATATTTGAGACTGCCCCCACCTGACAACAGATGCACTCTGCAGGTAGATGGGCAGTCCTTAGCTGCCCATATACTGCCAATGCACTACCACTGCTGAACCATAGTTTCCTCATGAGTGTTACCTACTGCATCAGCTTGTAAAGAGTTGTGGCAGTGCATTCCTTTTTTCCATACGTTTTTTCGTTTCTCCACCTGTCTGCCTCAGTCTCATAAAAAGGACATGGCTTGAAAGCATTTAGGATTTTTTCCCCCTTTGATACAGTGAGGAGGGGATTAGACTTTGGTGGTCAAAGATCACTCTCCATTTGACCTGCTTTGGTGCTCATTCTGATTGTACAGGTAGAACAGCTCCTCCAAGAGGATGGCACATCGAAATCTGCAAATTTCACTCCAGCTCTCCGTGATGTTATGACTTAGAGATTTCAAGGGGCAGGCAAGTACACAAGGAGAGTTAGGACAGCAGACATCGTCAGCAATGACTAGTACTTTCTTCTTTGTTTGAGGAGGAACATGAGGAGCAGTGACCTCCAGAGGGTTACACAAATGTGCATGTTTCTAACCAAACTGTCACGAGTGACGTATGTCAATATAAAAGAAAAAAAAAATCTTGAGACCTTAAGATAAACAAGGAGATCATTTAATTTGTTTTTTCTCATACTTTTTAAACTCATTTGTCTCATTGAGTCTAAAAAGTTGTTTCTGTCCAAACAGAGGTGATAAACATAAACACATAAACTGGCTGCAAGTCCTGATTTTACCCCAGTTTAAGATGCAAAGAATTATAACCATCGGCTAGTATTTTACGTTATTTCTCTTCAGTTTCAATCCTGATATTATAATAAGCTGATAACTGTGATTGGTTGCTTGTACAAAGGTTTACTGTGTTAAATATGAACATAGTAAATAGTTCCGTAAATTTTAAATAAAGTTTAAAAGGCCCTTAGTGACTTAACTTCAGCTATGTGTATTTTACGGCCACATGTATCTATGTGTAGCAGACCATTCAACTATAATAACAATACATTAGGATGGAATTACTCATCATTTACCTGTCAAACCGCAAGCTACGCCCATACAAGGCATCCCAGTCCCACCCATATGTGGTCCAACCCTTAGAAACGTCCCATTACCGTCACAAGTACAGGAAAAATGGCGGCGAGTATGTTGCGGCTCCCGCTGCGACTTTCCTCCAGAAATATGGGGATAATGACCCGTAATACCGGCTTGAAGACCTCAAATATACCCAGGACGACTCAAAGCAGGACCGCAGTGTCTACGCCGTCTGGAGCAATTCTACCGAAGCCGGAAAAAGTGAGTTTCCAACGTTCAGTTTACAGAGGTAGCCGACTGGAGTTTACGAGTGGGCGGGACAGCGGTGGTTTGACGGAAGCTTTGACGAATAGAAAGACAGGATACGCACCGGACTTGTTAAATCAGCAAATGAACGTTTGTTTTGTTAAAGGGAGAGGCTGTTAAAGGAAATAAGTCACTAGTAAATTTAAAGATCATTTATTATTCAAAGACTCGTTTTATTTGGCGAAATGTAGTGTTGTGTCGTTAAAAAATACGTCCGCTGGACAGCCGCTAATGTTGGCGAGTAATTTATAGACTTGAAGCCTAAACTCGTCGATGTTCGGGCAGGACATGTCCAGTTGGTCGCAATAAAATGTCGCAATAAAAACACGTTAATAAGAGAAATTGATATTTAATGATCGATGGACGGAAACTGCCGTCAGGTCAAGAGCTAAAATGATCTGCTCTGTAACCACACACACGTCGTTCACTCTTTTTGGGCCTTCGACATTTGTATATGATTCTCTGCTGGAATCTGCTTCACGACTGGCTGAGGGCTGTTAACTCAAATACATGTATTCATATGGAGATACCCATCGACCATGCTTTACGGAGCCAAGTCAACATGACTCAGAATAGAGCTTCAGTGTAAGGATGTAATGACCTGGTGACATCAGTTGTGCTTTTAGTGAAAGCATTTTGTGTTTCAGATATTCTGAAACACTCCTGCCAGTTTGGCCTCAGTT